AGGAGCGTTTGATTAAGAATTGGATCGAGATTGTACTATTTGCACTAGGAGATTTTTACTATGACTCAAGGAATTTGTTCTGTTTCTGCTGGAGTACCAACGTCTGTTGTAGTTTCTCGTGGGATTAAGTGATATCTTTGAACAAGCTAGAAGTTAGATCCTCTTAATGCCTACCTTACCATCTATTTACAAAGCATATGCCATGGTAGTTCAAGACGAAAGTAGAAGGATGATTACTGGTGCCAATTATGGAAATGCAGGGAACATTGAGCCTACTGCTCTATTCACTGCACAATCAGGAATCAAGCAAAGGAGAAATTATAGTTTGGAGTGTGACTTTTGTCACTTAAAAGGACATACTCGAAAAGACTGCTATAAACTAATGAAGTATGATTTTGTAATAAAACAGGACACTTGAACGACAAATGCTACAAAATTGCGGGTTATCCTCCATATTTCAAGCCAAAGGGAAAGGCAAATGCTGCCCTTTTCAGTGAACAGTCTCAAACCACACAGGTGTCTAGTCAACAAACGAGCAATGGAACAGTACCAGCTCAGTTCTTCACACAAGACCAGTACAACCGGTTGTTACAACTGCTGAGCAAGAATTCTGTTGGAGATGTCAGTGCTTACATGGCAGGTAAATGCTTTTGTGGCAATGTAGAGTTATGTGAAAATATGGTACTTTGTAAGTGGATTTTAGATACAAGAGCTACGAATCATATGACTGGTTCTAAAGAATAGTTACATAACGAACAATCAGTAGGAAACACAGGACAACTTCAGTTGCCTACTGGAGATTCAGCCACAATCTCACACATGGGAGAATGCCAACTTACAGAAGGTGACACTCTTAAGGATGTTCTTTGTGTTCCAGCATTCAAGTTCAATCTTTTGTCAGTATCCAAAATGACAAAGGACTTGAAATGTTGTGTAACATTCTTTCCACAATATGTTGTATTTCAGGACCTCTTGTCTGGGAAGGCGAAGGGGATTGGTAAGGAGGAGGATGGACTATATGTTCTTTCCACATCTACATCAGTTGGAGGAAAATTGAATTGAGCATTTGCAATAACTAGTGGAGCAGGTGGTGCAGACTTATGGAATAAGAGAACATGACATGTTCCAATGCAAGTCCTTAGGAAGATTCCTAGTCTAATGAATAATACCAATTTCTCTTGCATCAATCAATTGAATAAGTGTGAGATATGTCCACTAGCAAGACAGACTAGAATGCCATTTCCACTTTGTAAGAGTAGAAGTTTATCTAGTTTTGACTTGATACACATGGATGTTTGGGGTCCATATAAGGTTCCTACCCATAATGGCATGAGATTTTTCTTTACTTTGGTGAATGATTGCACTAGATGAACTTGGATATTTCTTATGCGACTTAAATCGGATGTAGTGTTTTTACTCAAAAACTTTATTGCTTTGGTCAAGACACATTATGGTAAGTCTATTAAGATGTTTCGATCAGATAATGGAGGAGAATTTTTCAATCATTCTTGCAAGGATTTATTTTAGTTGCATGGCATTGTACACCATAGTTCTTGTCCATACATTTCTCAGCAAAATGGGGTAGTTGAACGAAGGCATAGCATATACTTGAGACAGCAAGAGCTATTCGATTTCAGGGGCATCTACCTGTTAGATACTGGGGCCATTGCATTAACACAACAATTTATATTATCAACATGATACCTTCTTCAATCCTTGCAGGTAAATCTCCTTATGAAATGCTGCATGGAAAACCACCTTCTATTTCTCATTTGAGGGTGGTAGGATGCCTATGCTTTGCAACAAACTTGTCATGCATGACAAGTTTGAGCCAAGGGCAGTGAGATCTATTCTGTTGAGATATGCAGCACATCAGAAGGGTTACAGGCTATTGGATTTGGAACACAGAGTGTTCTTTATTAGCAGTGATGTAGTGTTTTGTGGAGATGTGTTTCCATTCCAATCCTTAGACACTGCTTCACCAGACTTCTTTCTTGACTCGACTCCTGTTCCTAGACATGATGTTATTGCAGATTTAGCTCCCATGCATGTTCATTTGCCACACAATGAATCTTCCACACAATCACCTCCATGTTCTCCACATTTACCTGAGATTTCCCCCTCCACAGATGCAATACCTGCCTCAGCTCCTAATGATGATCTCATAGTTGCTGGTTCTACTATTGATGTTCCAGTGCCCAATTGTAATCCACCCATTGTTGGGCAGGATGTTAGAAGATCGGGGAGAGTGTCCAAACCTCCCATTTGGCTGCAAGATTATGTTCAGCCTACTAAAGGAAAGTCTACAGGATGCTGTAAATATCGACTCTCTGAGGTAATCACTTATGATCATATTACACCCAAGTATCAAAGTTACTTGTCCCAATTCTCTGTTGAAGTGGAACCAGTGACCTACCAAGAAGCGGTTAAAGATAAGAGGTGGGTAGAAGCCATGCAATCTGAAATCAAGGCTTTGGAAGATAACCACGCATGGACTCTTGTCCCATTACCTAAGGGTAAGAAGGCCATTTGGATGCAAATGGGTGTACAAGATTAAATACAAGGCTACTGGGGAAGTTGAGAGATTCAAAGACAGACTTGTGGCAAAAGGGTACAATCAAAGAGAAGGGTTAGATTACGAAGAGACTTTTTCACCAGTGGTTAAAATGGTGACTGTCAGGAGTGTGCTTTCCATAGCAACTTCCAGGCATTGGACCATCCACCAAATGGATGTGTACAATGCATTCTTGCAAGGTGATCTTTTTGAAGAGGTGTATATGACTGTCCCACAGGCTTTCAGTGATCCCACTGATAAGTCCTTAGTTTGTAAACTGCTCAAGTCCCTCTATGGACTTAAGCAGGCTTCCAGACAATGGAATATCAAGTTAACAACAACATTGCAGAACTCTGGTTTCACACAGAGTCACCTAGATTATTCTTTGTTCCTCAAACGAGTTGGAGACAGGTTAGTGGTGGTTCTAGTCTATGTTGATGACTTGTTGATCACAGGTAATGATATCTTGCTTATACAGCAAAACCAAGGATGATTTACAGTCT